TGCCAATTTGATTCTGGGTTTTAACAGAAAAGTGAAATGTGTCAAGTAGGTTCTGGGCTTTGACAGAAAAGTAAAATGTGGCAGGTAGGTTCTAGGCTTTGACAGAAAAATGAAATGTGTCAGTTCGATTCTAAACTTTGACAAAGAAGAGAAAGGTGCTAGTTTGGTGCTGGGCTTTGACTGAAAAAATAAAATATGTTAGCCAGGTTCTGGACTTTAACATAATAGTAAAAAAGGTACCAGTCAGGTTCTGGGCTTTGACAGAGAAGGGAAAAGTGCCAGTCAGATTCTGAGCTTTGACAAAAAAATAAAATGTGCCTGTTAGGTACTGGGCTTTCAGAAAATGCGAAAGATGCTGTTAAGTTTTAGGTTTTGACAAAAACATAAAGGGACTTGGACAAGAAAGGTAAAAAGAAAGATAGAAAAATAAAAGGTCGATCATGTTCTAGATTGCAAAAGAACATAAAAGGACAGTCATGCTTTGAACTTTAACAGTAAAAGTAAGACAGAAAAATAAAGACATCAGTAAGCTTCTGAATTTTGATGAAAAGTAAAGAACTCAGTTAGATCATAGTCTTGGATTGAACATAAAGGTTGTAAAGCAGATAATTAATTTAAATTAAACTTTAAAAGGTGATAATAGAAAAAAAAAAAACAAATGCATGCTAATGTGATGATGCGATTGCATAAACTTAATGAATGTTAACACTTGGAATGAAATTTATGGAATGATGAGGTCAAATGCAATAATAAGACTTATTAAATCAAAACAAACTCTGTCCTATTTTTTTTTTCTCGGGGATTATAATTCTTCCAACCTTATCGAAACATGCGCGTCAAGGTTCATGAATGAGTAACTTTTTCGGTTTACATCAATTCTTTCACAAAATCTGAGCTGAGCAAGGCATAAACAAAATTAGACTGCCATTTATTTTTGAATCATCAAGAGGAGTCAACTTTTTCTGTCACACTAAACTTATCAAGAGATTCATCGAACTTATTGTGTAGCTTATTATTGCAATCGTATTTTCTTATTACCCTTTTAACAGTTTGCATGTTTCTTTTTAGTCTATAATTATAGAAATGACAATAAAAATGCTATTGAAGAAGTTGAGTAAACAAAGTCGTGTATAAAAGCTGAATGAAAGGTGACTAAAGTCAAAGATAAATATTTTTGGAATATAGGATGACTGTAATAAAGAAATGGTGATTTTATAAAGAGGACTTACAACGTAATAGAAAAACAAATACATCAAACAAAAGATCAGAATGACTACAAGAATAACGAAATATTATGTTGATTAAGTGACGTCTTCCAGATGAACAGTGCTAATCTGCCATGTAAGTTGATCATCCATTAACAAAATTGCCAAATAAAATTGACCTAGTATGGTATTTTGAATTCATCTTCCATTTGATCCAACTTCTACCTCTCAAAATTATCCCAGTCTAGTATTCCAGTCCATCATATTTCCCAACTTGAATCGCTTTCTTGCAGCTAAAGTCAGTGCCTCTTTTGAACCGCCCTTTCAAGTTTTCAATTCAGTGTAGTATTTATTTGACTTTAATTTTTGCCTGAACCGCTCTTTCGAGTTTTAAACTCACCAGGTCGCTCTAACTTTTGCCTAGGTCGCCTTTTCGGGTTTTCAACCTAGCGAGCTTTTCTCTTTTTTTCTTTTTCTTTTCTTTTTTATTTTTTTTAATTATTATTTTTAAGCATAGTATTTTTTGACAGCATCAGAATTGATGGGGTTTGGAAGATCTTGTCCATCCATGTTTGTGAGGATTAAAGCCCCTCTTGAGAAAGGCTTTTTCACCACGTATAGTCCTTCATAATTCGGAGACCACTTGCCACGATAATCTTTATGCGTTGGCAAAATCTTTTTGAGCACCATATCTCCCTCACTGAATTCTCTTAGATGATCTTTTTTTATCAAAAGCCTTATTCATCCTTCTCTGGTATAGTTGACTGTGACATAACGCATTCAACTGTTTTCCTTCAATGAGATTCAATTGATCAAAACGAGATTGCACCCATTCTGCTTCCTCTAATTTGGTCTCCATTATTACTCTTAAAGAGGGAATTTCGACTTTAATAGGAAGTACTTCTTCCATTCCATATACCAAAGAGTATGGAGTTGCCCCGGTTGAAGTACGAACTGAAGTTCAGTATCCATGCAAGGCAAATGGCAGCATTTCATGCCAGTCTCTGTATGTCACTACCATCTTTTGGATGATCTTCTTAATATTTTTATTGGTTTTTTCAACTGCTCCATTCATCTTTGGGTGATAAGGAGAGGAATTATGATGTCAAATCTTGAAATTGTCACACAATTCTTTCATCATTTTGTTGTTCAAATTAGTGTTGCTTGGGAGGCCATACCAACAGATCAAATCCTTTTTAATGAATCTCACCACCACATTTTGGGTCACACTAGCATATGAAACAGCCTCAACCCATTTTGTGAAATAGTCAATAGCAACTAGAATAAAGCAGTGACCATTAGAGACTTTAGGTTCAATGGGTCCAATAACATCAATTCCCCACATTGAAAAAGGCCAGGGCGAAGATAAGACATTTAATTTTGTTGGGGGAACATTAATATTGTCAGCATATGCCTGGCATTTATGACATGTCTTCACATAACGAAAGCAATCAGCCTCCATTGTCAACCAATAATATCCAGCCCTTAGAATCTTCTTTGCCATGACATGTCTATTGGCATGAGTCCCAAATCAACCTTCATGAATCTCTTCCATGATCTTTCGTGCTTCTGAAGCATCCACACATCTAACCAGAACCATATCATGATTCATTTTGTAGAGCACATCTCCATTCAGAAAGAAACTCATTGATAACCTTCTCAATGTCCTTTTGTCATTTTCAACAGCATTTAAAGGGTATTCTTGGTGTTTTAGGAAATTTTTAATGTCATGATACCAAGGTTTACCATCAGATTCTTCTTCAACCATTTGACAATAAACAAGATGATCAAGCTGTTGCATCTTGATGAACGACATGTCTTCTTTTTGACTCACTACAAACATTGATGATAAAGTGGTTAAAGTAGCAGCCAATTGATTCTCCTCACGAGGAATATGCTGGAAAGTAATTTCATTGAAATACTCCACCAATTCTCTAATATAGGCTTGATAAGGGATCAATTTGGCATCTCGAGTCTCCCATTCACCTTTCAACTGGTGGATGACCAAAGCTGAGTCACCATACACCTTAAGAATTTTGATCTTAGACTCTATAGCTGCTTGAATTCCCATAGCACATGCTTCATATTCAGCTACATTATTCGTACAATCGAATGATAATCTAGCTGTGATCGGGATATATTGCTATTCTGAGGAAATCAGTATGGCACCAATCTCGTGTTCGAGTGCATTAGAAGCACCATCAAACATCATGACCCATTTATCTTTTGCTGAAGATTCTTTCTCATTAAACAACGCCATTATATTTTCATCAGGAAATTTGTACTGTATTGACTGATAATCATTCACTGGTTGATGAGCTAGGAAATTTGTGAGAGCACTGCCTTTGATTGCTTTTTGAGTAACATACACAATATCATATTCTGACAATAGGACCTGCCAACGAGCAATCCTTCCAGTAAGGGCTGATTTTTCAAAAATGTATTTGATTGGGTCCATTTTTGACACCAACCAAGTCGTGTGACACAACATGTATTGCCTTAACCTGCGAGCTACCCAAGGCACAATAGATTCGCTCCAACAAAGAGTATCTAGCTTCATAGTCAGTGAATTTTTTGCTCAAGTAATAAATGGTGTGCTCTTTTCGACCCGATTCATCATGTTGACCTAAAACACATCCCATGGATCCTTCTAACACTGTCAAATACCTAATGAGCAGCCTCCCTGACACTGGCGGAACTAGTATCGGGAAATTTTGCAAATATTACTTTATCTTCTCAAAAGCTTCTTAACAATCATCATTTCACTCCATCCGCTGATTTTTCCGTAACAACTTAAAAATTGGTTCATAAGTGGTAGTTAGTTGGCATATGAATCGAGCAATATAATTCAATCTCCCCAAAAATCCATGAACCTTCTTTTCAGTACAAGGAGGCAGCATTTCCATGATTGTTTTTGCCTTGTCAGGATTAACCTCTATTCCCTTTTGACTGACTATGAACCCCAATAATTTGCCTGATTTCACCCCAAAAGTACATTCGGCAGGGTTCAATTGCAATTTGAATTTCTTCAACCGCTCAAACAATTTGTGTAAATTCACAACATGGTGTTCATATCATCCACATAGACTTCAACCTCCTTATGCATCATATCATGAAATAACGTCACCATCGCCCTTTGATATGTTGCCCCAGCATTTTAGGCATGACTTTGTAGCAAAAGGTACCCCAAGGTGTAATGAATGTGGTCTTCTCTATATCCTCTTCAGTCATTTTGATCTTATTATAACCCAAGTAACCATCCATAAAAGAGAAGAATGAATGTTGAGCTGTATTATCTGCTAGCATATCAATGTGAGGCAATGGAAAATCATCTTTAGGGCTGACTCTATTTAGATCCCGATAGTCAACACATATTTGAACCTTTCCATCTTTCTTAGGAACTTGCACAATGTTAGCAACCCATTGAGGGTATTTAGCAACAGCGAGAAAACCTGCATCAAATTGCTTTTTGACCTCCTCCCTAATCTTCAATGATATCTCAAGTTTCATTCTCCTTAATTTTTGCTTAACTGGGAAACACTCTAGCTTCAGCGGCAATTTATGCTCGACTATATCCACATCTAGGCTTGGCATATCTTAATAAGACCATGCAAAGACATCACTATAATCATGCAAGAGTTTAATCAACTTGTCACGCTCTTGTTTTTTCATGAGGGTGCCTATTTTGATTTCTCTCTTATCATCTTCAGTCCCTAAATTAATTGCCTCAGTGGGTTCATCATGAGGTTGGATCTCTTTCACTTCTGGATCGACCAATCTTAGAAATTCTGAGGGTTAATCAACATCACTATCATCTTCGACAACTTGATTAATGGGACAATCAAAATTAGTGGATGAGATATTAGCACTGTTACTTTCAGACATGTCACTTTCGGATCTGCATTGTGTGAGAGTTGAGACAAAAAGAAAATAAACGACAAGATTCAAGCAATAAAGAAAAAAGACACAAAAGGTTGCTGAGAATTCAAATTGCATTTCATTTAAAAATATACTTAAAAGGAAACATGTGTCCTAACTTACAAAACAAACTGATATTTTAAATTACAAAAAGAAACCATATATCAGTTTTTTTTCAAAAAGTAATGATATCCTAAAGCTTTGGGACAAAACAATAGGATTAACTTCAAGGATTACTTTGAATAGCTATTAAAAATCACAGGTAACTCGATGATCTCCCAATAGCCACCTTCTGTGTTCGGCGGACAAGTGTGGACTAGGTCCACAACCTCTTCTTCAGGTGCACCCACATTAGTAGTAGCTACTGAGTCTTAAAACTCAAATCCAACACTATAGAAGCTTTTCAGAAAATTACAAATGGGGACCCCTTCAGTCTTAGGCTCCCTACCTTCCAACCTGACTAATCTTCTTTCTTTCTTTTCCTCCATGACTTTTCTCTTATCAGCTTTAGTGGGCGTGTATCCCAACCCAAATCTATCCTTATTCTCATGGAGCTGTAACCAGTTTGTTGCTTTCGATATGACTTGCCCTAACATGTATCTATACTGACCACCTCCATCAAGCATGACTTTAGCAGTCATTATGGATGTATTAGACAATCGAGGCTTTAAGATTGGAGCTCCCTCTCCAACATAAGTAGCATTCGCAATCTCTAAAGCCTGAAAAGAGGTCTCTAGAGTTTCTTCAACAGCTTCAATATAAGGAGTGGACGAAGGCTTACTTGCCAACACATCTTCTTCACCAGAGACAATCACTTACTTATTATCAATGATAAACTTTAGTTTTTGATGCAATGTGGATGGTACAACTCCAGCAGAATGAATCCAATGCCTCCCCAAAAGACAGCTGTAAGCTGGCGCGATATCCATTACTTGAAACAAAATCTGAAAAGTGCAAGGACCAATTTGGATTGTAATTTCAATTTCTCCAATGACCTCTCTTCTTGTTCCATCAAAAGCTCTTACTATCATGGCACTGGGTTTCATATGCGACCCATCACAAGGTAATTTTGACAATGTTGCTTTTGACATCACATTCAAAGAAGACCTATTGTCAACAAGCACTCTAGCAATAATGTGATCTCAACATTTTACAGAAATATACAGTGCTTTATTATGCCCCATTCCTTCACCAGGTACTTCATCATCAATGAAGGTGAGATAATTGTTTGAAACAATATTACCAACAATGCCTCCAAACTTGTCGGTAGTGATATCATGGCTGACATGAGCCTCATTCAACACTTTCAAAAGAATCATCCTATGTGGCTCAGAGTTCAGCAACAGCGATAAAAGAGATATCCTTAGTGGAGTTTTGTTTAACTGTTCCACAACTTGATATTCACTTTGTCGAATAAATTTCAAAAACTCACAAGCTTCTTCATTAGATACTGTCTTTTTTATTTCAGGCATTTTCTCTTCGTCAGCATATTCAAACTCACCCAATTTAGTTTTCCCCTTTGAGGATCTCTCTATCTCTTTTGCTCGCTCTTTTCTCAACTCCTCAGGTGTATAAATATGACCACTATGGGTCATCCCACCAACACCAGCAATGTTTGAGACGGCGAGAGTATCAGAATTGACACCATGTGTTTGGTTTTCCTTAAAATTGCCGACATAAACCTTTGCATCATACCTCCATAGTACTGCTTTGTTGTCCCTATAAGGGAATGGAGCCGATACTTGTATAGTGATGAGTCTAGGTCCATTGGTAGTTTGGGTATCCACACACTTGGTGTAATGAATGACCAAAGGTTTCGGGAAGGTTAGTGATTGTTCATCAACAGTCAAAACTTCATTTTTCTCTTTAGGGTGCCCGATTTGGACCAAATGCTTATCCATCAGGGTTTGCAGAACATGCTTGAATTCTTCACAATCTTCAATGGAGTGGTATGCGTTAGGGTGCAAATCACACATATTTTCTTCATGTACAAAACCCTTGATCAAGTCAGCCTGGCATAACTCAACAAAAATAACCTTAAAAGGAGTGGTAATGTCTTCAACTTTTCTCTTTAAAACATGTGCAGACTCTTCCTCGACGGCATTTACCGACAATCCTTTATGCCCGGGTAGGGGATTACTCCTAATGTTAGGGTTATCCTCCTTGAAATTCAGCCATTTAGCATTAATTAAGTCTTGCACTTTGAACTTTAATGCCCTACAATTCTTTGTCGAATGACCAATGCCACCACCATGATACTCGCACTTAGCATTTGGGTCACACCTTCTTGGATAGGGCGGTTCTACAGGTTTCATTGGACAGGGTACAACTAATGAACTTTAGAATAGGTGAGGTAGTAACTCAGTGTAGGACATGAGGATTAGGTCGAATTGAACTTGCTTTCTTTCTTGATTGTTTTGGGGTCTTATTTGGTTGGGATTTGGGTTTTGGTTCCAATGTTGGGGTGGTCTCATAGGTGGTGCTATGGGAAAAGTAGGCAGAGCGAGTTAGTAAGGTCGTGACTGATAAGATTGGGGACTTAGATTCTGTGAAACAACATTGACATATGGGTAAGACATTTGAGGGGCAAGAAATGTAGGTTGGAATTGAAAAGGTGCAGAGTTAGGTCTAATGAAAGGAACTTCTCTTGGGTGAAAAGCTATAGCATTAGTCTCTCCCTCCTTCTTTCTTCCTGGACCATTTGTAAATTTCTTCAAATTGGAGGGTCCGCTAGAATTGTGAAATATCTTACCACTCCTCAATCCTCATTCCACTCTTTCTTCGATAATCACAATATCAGAGAAGTTTGACGAAACACTTCCAATCATCCTATCGTAGAAAGGTGATTAGAGAGTATCAATAAACATAGCCACAATTTTTTTTTTCAGACAAAGGGGGCTCCACTTGAGCTGCAACTTCTCTCTATCTGTGGGCATATTCTTTAAAGTTCTCATCCTCCTTCTTTAACATATTCCGCAGTTGTAATCTATCAGGAGCCATATCAATGTTGTACTTATATTGCTTTAGGAAAGCATCAGCCAAGTCTTTCCAACTACGAATACGAGTACGCTCAAGATGCATATACCAACTCAAAGCTCCTCCAATCAAACTATCTTGAAAAAAGTGAATTAGCAGCTTATCATCATGGGCATGTTATGCCATCTTCCTACAGTACATGATCAAATGACTCTTTGGGCATGTTGTTCCTTTATACTTATCAAAATCAGACACTTTGAATTTTAGAGGAACTATCACATCTGGGACCAAACAAAGATCTGCAGATTCTCCAATGCCATAACTGCTCCCTTCGATAGCTCTCAATCTTTCTTCCAATATTTGCAATTTTTCTCTAGATTGTAAGTGCTCCTCTGAGTAATTGGGCTGGGGTTCTTCTAAGGTCTTATGGGAATGGAATAGTGATATGGCTGGGTTTCCATCAAGGCTAGGATTAATGATTTGTGGTTAGTGGTGGATCGATTGATTTGGGGTAGGTATGGTGTAGGGTATATGAGTTTCTTGGGGATGGGCATTTTGAGGGTAAGCATATGATGGGATAGATGTTTGGGTTGGTTGGATTTGTGGACCTAAAGGTTGTGTAGGATTGGATTGATTTGATGGTTGGCCAGTGTTTGGTGGGTTCACAGCCATCGGTGATGTATAACCTTGGGGAAGGCCATATGGGAGAAATTAGACATCTTGTTGATTGAAAGCTTGTTGTGGAGGCCTTTCTACATGCAAGGTCAAAGGCACCATTGTTTCATGAGGAGGAAACTTTGAGACAGTCCTTGTGCAGGGGTAAAACCTAGTGGATAGGTAGGAGTGGGTTGTGGTGGTGGTGCTTAAGTAGGGGTCCCCTCTGTGGTTCTTTTCTCTAAAGACTTCAGTGCCTCTAGGATTTGTGCCATTTGTTCCTTCAGCTGGTTAACATTGTTTCTCAATTCTTCATTGTGCTTCTCTAACTCATCCATGATCCTTGCTTGAGCGCGAGTTCTATAAGGATGCTTTAGAAAACGTTTTCCCGTTATATTTGTTTAATTTTCTGAAAGAGTTTGTAGTCAAGAAAGAATTAATTAAAATGAAAAGTGCACTTAAAAATAACGACCAAAGATTAAAGAATTATCACAGTTGTTGAGCGTCTTCGAGTCTTTAATGGGAATTAATGTAGGATCCTTATCAAATGAAACACACCAAAATATACTCCATAATCAAATCAAAACATCAAAGTACATCAGAGTTTGATTCAAAATACATTTTCTTTTTCCTACCCATACATAGTTTACCCATTCCCCAAATCATTACATCACCCCTGCCTAGCCCTATCTATCATTCCTTTCATCTCTGAGACCAACCAGTTGCAATGGCTAAGGAAATCTTTAATTTCTTAAGGTGTCGTGTAGAAAAAGGTAGTTGTCTCGGCCTTTGTCAACATATACAGGACGTCATCAATCGCAGCATTAGCTAATGATGCAAGTTGTATAAAGTGTTTGATCCAATACTCAATGAGCTTATCTCCTTCTTCTATCTGACCATCTTTCACTTTCACAATAGCTTCGTACTCTTTCATGATTCTGATCACTTCTCATTTTTCAGCATTAATTTCGGCCTCGCATGCCATGACAATTTCCTTTACCTGCTCTTTCATGTTTTGCACTCGTGTTTGGAGTTCATTGGCTTAAGTCAAAGCTTCTTCTTTATCTCTTTTTTCCTTGTATAATGTACCCTTTAGTTGTCGTTTCTCATATAAAGCTGCATTTCGCTACTTCACCCTTAATCCCAATTCCTTGCTTGCAACCTCAAGGCAACGTTGAACTTTGGCTACATGGCTTTGCACAGACTTCTGCTTCTTACAAACCTCTTCATAGGCTTGTTGTTTTTCACTGTTTTCTCTTTTCAAAATGGTGCAAGTTTGGCGGCTCTCTCGAAGCTCCCTTTCTACCCTCACATTCTTCTCAATCATCTTAGCCAGTCTTACCTTTAATTCTTTTACTTCTTCATTCTCAAAGGGTTCTGGATTAGATGACTCACTTTTTTGGAAGGTACCTGGATCTTTGAATGGTAACTTAATCTCTTGGATTCTTTCTTTAACCCATTGACGGTAACTTGCTTTTGCTACACATCTCCTCACGCCTAACTCTTTTCCTTTTCGAACAACCCTTGCCCAAGCATTCCTTGCCTTTCGGATAAGCTCCGTGAAATTTCCATCTTCATAATAGACAATAAAAGGAATCAACAATTCCTTAGCAGGTGGTCCCATCATAAGATAAGCGAGCTGACGTTGTCCCATAATTGGATTGTAATTAATACAACCCCGAGTACCCATAAGAGGAACATTTGGATAATTGCCACAGTGATAAACAATGGTTGTTGACTGTTGCCATGGAGTGTGCCACCTGATGTGTCCTTCATTCAAATTGGCTAAGTGATTAGCCCACTCTTGACCATTTTTCTGCCCAATCTGAAACCTCAGCAAATCAGTGATCGGACACTTGATCTCACTTGGCCTTTTAAAGACATGAGCTGGAGCCATATATAAAGCATAGGTATACAACATATAATCCTCTTTCCTTTCCTTTCATGGCAAAAATTTAATGTACAATAAACATCAGCTAGTATTGCAGGGACAGGATTTTCAGATCGATTTTTGCATGCAAGAAATACATCTATTGCTGCTAAATCCACAAAGTTTTCATGTTTAGGGAAGAGGAAGATGCCATAAATGGTGAGTGCTAGGACATCCATGAAAGTGTCCTAATCTTCTTTTTCTGCCAAATTATGCATGTGTCGCTCAAGAAATTCTCTTATGAATCCCCTATTTTGATGTTTTTCTTAATAAGCTTGCTGTAACTCGGCTGGATGAATCCTTAAGACATTGTCGATAGTCGGCAGAGATGCATGATGTTCCATAGAGCGACATGGCTGTTGACCCTCCAAAGGCAGGTCTAGAATTTGCTCAAATTCCTCTAAGGTCGGAGCCAACTGAAAATCCTGAAAGGTGAAGCACCTCAATGGGGAATCATAATACTGGGCTAGAACTGTTATGGCATCTTCTTGCACATTCACTTCCATCAATCTCAAAATATTTCCATACCTCCTCACTAAAGTGAGTTATTGGACCATTTTCAGCTTCTTCCCTAATTCTCTCAAACTAGTAGTGCTATCCTTTTTAACTTTCAGATACAATTTTCTTCTCAACATCTGCTGATCTAACCTCACTGCTACTTGATCCCACATTAATTTTCATTTTCTCGAATACTCAAACAACTTTGTGATTCTCAACCTATAAATAAAAAGAAAATAATGAGAAATTATTTCAAATCTTGTATTTGTTTCATTAACATAGAATCCTAGTAGCCATAAGGATTAATATTGATTCTAAACAGATAAACGTCCATATAAGAATCAACGTTAATTCTAAATGAATCGATAATCCACTAGGCTTTTACATTAATGAGACAAATATGTGATGACCATGATAATGCAAGAACAATATGAATCATTACCCTTTTTAAGATCTTTTGAATTTTATTTTTGATAAATCTAAATTGATACTTAAAAGGGTAATGCTTCATATGACAATGCAATGATGTAAGAAATTATGCAAATTGTTATCCTTAATCTTATTTCAAAACTGATTTTAAATTTATTACAAGTGTCACAAAGATGGCAATAAGCATGATATTCAAATAAATGATATGCAATGATATATGAAATGATGATGTAAGAAAAATTAATTGAGAGAATCATGTGAATCACTAGTCCTTATATTATTCCAAAATATAGTAAAAGAAATTTCTTCTCCTTTTTTATTTAAAACTTTAAGGAACTAATAATTCACATGATTTCTAAAAGAGTAGATAAGGAAATAATACCTCCTTTGTGTCCTATTTCGGGTCACCTAAAGGGTCTAACTTAAAGATCTACGATTTTCTTTTATGTGTAAAAACTCATAAAAAGGTGGCTTATAATCCTAAAAGGTCATCAAAGCTAAGATCCAATCCTTGATGTTAACCACAACAACAGGGAGTCTACTAGATGCGGGATATCAAGAAAAGGTCAAACTCTAGCTAGGGTTTTCACGATAGCCAAATAGGACGTGCATCCAAAATGACACCGCTACATAACCCCTCTAATCCTAAGCATACTCAGACTTGGGTATAGGGCCCCGCTCAAAGTGTGTGAGGGAGCATACAAACCTTATCAACTCAACAAAAATAAAAGCTGCAAAATTAAACAACACGAGAATATCACAAAAAATTATCAATGGTCATCTATCTTAGGGTTAACAATAATATTAAGAAAAATATATACAACAAAGTTATGGAAATATATGCACGAAATAAATACACAAATAAAAGAAACATAATACAATTAATTCAAATAATAAAGAAAAAGAAAAGGATTAAACAAATAGAAACAAAATAAGACAAATTCCCACAATCAATTATCAATGGCTTGAATCTCTAAAATATTTTCCCAGTAGAGTCGCCATCTATCGCAACCGGGCGGTCGCAACAGTACGGCAAAAAACGTTTTCAAAATATCAGAGGAGTCGCCACCAAAGTTTAGTTTAAGAAAAACCTTAGAAAAACTTAAATATAATACGATCTTTGAAACTAAAAATGAGTTCGGGAGTTATTTACGTGTAGGGAAGGTATTAGCACCCTACAACGTCCGTTTAAAAACGGTTATCTTAAATTAATTGTGCAAATTTATTTAAATTCTGGAAAATATTTATTTAATCCCTAAACATTAATTATTTTTATTTTAGAAGAAGAAATATTATTTATTGAGATATTATTTGGGTTATTTTGAAAATTATTTTGACTTGATGGGTCTGGTTCCCGCTCTTACGTATCCCCGGGTGCAATGGAAAACTCAAAGCCACATAGTTCTATCTAAAAATTATGAAATTAGTTGATTAAAATTAGGTTTAGTAAAAGAAAATTTATTTTGTAAAATTATAATATTTAGAATACAAGATAACGCGGTTATACATGTACCCTACGAGAAACAATATAGAAAGTGAAGGAAGATCATATAATTATATTGCAAATCATTAAAAATATTTTATTCGTAAATCAAGTATTTGAATTTGAATTTTGATTATGATCAATGTTGAAAGAGAATTTAAGATAGCGTAAGCTATACATTAATCTCTTATAATTTTTGGACAATCGAAGGCAATGTAAATCACACGACGATATTGCAAAAATTTGTATAGTAAAATAAAAATAGAGAAATAATTGGTTATTTAATTTATCAAAATTAGAAATATGATTTAATAAATTTTAAAATATGAAATTACTTTTATTTTTATTAAAAATAATAAATTTATTTGAATTGATTAAATAATATATTCATTTAATAAAAAGATTAAAATTTTCATTTGATAAATTTATATTATATAAAATCTAAGGTAACGTTGGTACACATTGATTTTTGACAATTTATAACGCATAAAGGTAGAGTCGCTACACATTAGCACTATAAATTATTTCGTTTATAAAACAATTTAAATTTAAACCTGTGGCCCTATATTCCTATTAGGGCAATTGGGATTGGGTGAGAATAAAAAAATCCCTTCCTAATTCAATTTGTGATAGCATTGTTCTAATTGATCCCCCTATGTTATCTAATAATTCAGATTAGTTTTTTTGAAAACATAACAACAATAGCTTATTTTTTATTAGTTCTGCTTATAATATGCGTATTATTGCTAATCAAACTAATAATAGTAATACTAACCATTAGGTTTTTAAGCTCATTTGGGGCTATAAAAGGTCCCCTTTGCATTAGTGTTTTTCTCTGAAAAGTTGCTCATGGTAAATTATTAACCAATGAGAAAAGATTCAATAAGAATATGTCTAATTCTCCCCTATGTGCTAGGTGTAGTGAGGCCCCTAAATCTATGATTCATGTCCTCAGAGACTGTTGGTGGGCTAACCAAATATGGAGCAAAATCCTTCCTAATATTAACTGGGCTTCTTTCTTTAGTTTAGGTTTAACTAACTGGCTAATTTTCAATCTCACTTTATGGAATTTTCCTATGTTTTCTCTATGGCATTCCCTATTTGCTATTGTCGCTAGCAACTTATGGAAAAATAGAAACTGTAGTATTTTTTAGAACTCTCCTTTAACTAATGAGGCCTTGCTGAATAAGATTGCTTGTGAGTTTAAATATTTACAGTCTTGTGATAGGGGTGGGCTGAGAGTTATTTCTAGGCTGAGGAAGCAGTAGGGTTTGATCAAGTGGCTCCCTTCTCTTGAGAAGCAATTCAAGCTCAATACAGATGGATCTGTCATCCAATCTAGAAGTAAAGCTAGCTATGGGGGTGTTATTCATGACCATATAGGGAGCTTCATTGCAGATTTCAAGAAGTCCCTTTACTTCTGTTTTTCGGTTGAAGCTGAACTGTGGAGCATTGCTTGGGGCCTTAAGCTGGTCACGTCTAATAATATCAATTATATTTGGATTGAATGTGATTATAGGAAGGCTATCTCTCTTGTTAACATTCAGTCTCACAATCACCCTTTATTTGACATCATTAAGGATATTAGAGATACTTGAGAAGGATAAATTTTGTTAGATTTAAGCATGTTGTTAGAGAAACTAACCAAAGTGTTGACTGGTTAACTAGGTTAGATGATGAGATAGAAAGGTCTTTTTGCTGTTTTGATAAACCTCCCCCTTCCTTAAAGTCTTTCTTTAGACTTGATTCTCTTAGTATCTCTTAGCCTAAGCTTGGTAGCTAGTGTATTTTTGTTTTGTTGAGCTGTGTAAGCCTTGTTGAATAGCAAATTAATTTTACTTATAGTTTGTATGAATATAAATATAATTTATTTTTAAATATTTTTGTAAATAAGTTATATGTTATGTTTCTTTATTAATTTTATAATTAACGTTTGTATTATTATAGTATTAATGTCTTACAAGTTTGTCTAACAAGCACACGCATGAAAGAAGATCATATTTAAGTTTATTAGAACGTAGGTGATGAATTTATATATATGGATACGTAATAAATAAGGATAAGACTACTAAAATCATTACCTTTAAAGGTATATATTTATTCATAAAATATGAAAATTCTTTGATTTCTTTTAGAATGAAAGTATAATAATAAATAGTAAAGTCTCTTACCTGAATTCTATTCATTATAACCGATAATTTTTTCAATATAATAATTTTAGAATCTAATTTAAATATATTACAATGTGTATTATTATTTAATTATATATTATTATATTATCAATTTTTTATTTTATAATAATTAATTTAAAAATATATTTATTATATATTTTAATTTATTAGTATTGAACATTTTTATATTATTAGTAGATTAAAATTATATTCATAATTTTAAATGATTGATTGGAATCATATTATTAGTCCTTTCTTAATTATTAAAAAAATCAACACTTTTCGTTTTAAAAATAGTAACTATATAAATAGCAAAAAAGAAAATAAAATTAGTAACTATATATATATATATATATATATATGTTTGCTGGGTATACATATATAGTTTTTAAAGACTTTTATCAAGCAATAAAGCGGTTGTCAAAAATAAGTTTTAAGGGGTTGCAGGAAATTAAAAAAAATTGTAAGTATTTTAAGAAAAATAATTTCGTATTCTTTATAATTTAACAAGTATCAGTGTAGTTATAAAGTTAAGGAATTATTGAGTACCGTTAAAAACTACATCTACTTGGGATAGCTTTTTTAAAAAAGTTATAAA